ACCATGTGTTCAATGTAGGGTGGTCCGCAGGGATGACACTAGATGACTCTGGTTTCTGAAATGAGCAAGACCAAATAGCCCTGTGTCTACAACTTACAGTCTAGGCATCCTCAAACTACAGCCCGCGGGCCACATGCGGCCCACCGAGGACATTTATCCAGCCCGCCGGGTGTTTGGGCCCTGTTTGTTTTTTTTACTTCAAAATAAGATATGTGCAGTGGGCATAGGAATTTGTTCATAGTTTTTTTTTAAACTATAGTCCGGCCCTCCAGCGGGTCTGAGGGACAGTGAACTGGCCCTCTGTTTAACAAGTTTGAGGACCCCTGGTAGATGGATAGCTGCAGTGATGCTTGCTACTGGAAGCGCAAGATGGAAATGAGGGCATTTCTGCAAGAAGAGAAGATGTAATGATATCTCCTGGAAGGGACGGCATGGTGTGGCATTCTTGGCAAATATCAGCATATTCAGTCTTCGCAGCAACTCTGCAAGAATGATGTGCTTTTATCATCCCATTTCCCAGGTGAAATTAGGGCTCAGAAAGGGTGTCTTGTGTAAGGTCACACAGCTAGTAAGTGCTAGAGGGAAGATTTGCCCCAGATTTGTCTGCTCCCAAACTGACCTCACTCTTTGATGCTGCACTGTCTCTTAAGAGCCAGGCGTAGAGGCAGATGTGTGTGACAGATCTCTTCTCATTTGAGCAATCAGCAATCAGCTGGGAGACAAGAAGGCAGATCATAAGCAATGGAAACAGGGCTCACTCATAGGGTCTGGCTTCAAGGGAGAACTATAGAATGTAAGCTCCACGAGGGCAGGTATGTATGCCTCTCTGCTCTCCCAACTCCCAGAATAGTATCTGATAAATAATAGTGCCCAATAAATATTTAAGAAATGAATGAATGGACTCTAGCCTCTGAGTAGGTTCGTCAAAACCAGACTAGAGATAGGGCCCTGAGAACGTAATCAAGAAAAGGCATGAGGTAGGGACCCAGTGCTTAGAACTGGCCTAAAGTAAGGCTTGGCTAAAAAGTGGTAGGTGAGAGGGCCAGGTCCCTCTGATTAAACAAAAACAAAAATCCAAACCAGTTGCCATTAAATCTAATCCAATTCCCAAGGAACTATACGTGACCTCCTCCCTGGGGGACGGACAACAGAAAAGTGGGTGAAGGGAGACGTCGGACAGGGCAAGATATGATAAAATAACAATTTATAAACTATCAAGGGCTCATGACGGAGGGGAGAGCAGGGAGGGAGGGGAAAAATGAGGACCTAATGTCGGGGGTTTAAGTGGAGAGAAAAAGTTTTGAGAATGATGTACAGATGCGCTTTACACCATTGATGTGTGTATGGATTGTGATAACAGTTGTATGAGCCCCTAATAAAATGTTAAAAAAAAAAACAAAGCTAAAAAAACCAGAAAATATTAAAAAAAACAAAAGAAAGAATAAAAAAAAAATCGAATCCAATTCCCAGCGACCCCAAGTGCGTCAGAGTAGACCTGTGCTTCCCAGGGTTATTGATGAGTGAGCTTTCTGAAGTCAGTCACCTTGGGAGGACTCAGAACACCAACCTATTGATTAAGAGCTGAGCTCTTATCCATTTGTGCCACCCAGAGACAAGTAACAAGGGGGGAGGGGGGAAAAACGAGGTGGTGGTGGGGGTATGTATCTCTTTCTTGCTTACATACTTTGGACATGTTGTCAGGAGAGACCAGTCCTTGGAGAAGGGCATCATGCTTGGGAAAATGGAGTGGCGGAGAAACAGAGGAAGGCCTTACACAAGATGAACGGACCCAGTGGCTGCCACAATGGGCACAAGCATAGACATGACTGTGAGGCTGGCACGGGACTGGGCAGTGTTTCATTCCGTTTTGCACAGGGTTGGAACAGACTCGACAGGATGGCACCTAACAGCAACGGTTCATGCTACATGTTCAGTGCACGTGAGCTGGCATCTCTGCTCCGTGTCATTTTCATTCTGAGACACAAGATGATAAACCTGGAACATAACTGGTCAGTCATCTTGGCAGAGAGAATATCTCTTCTGCTCATGTGTCATTACCCCAAAGCAAATTACACGGCTACATTTAACTTCAGAGGAGGTAGGAAATACAACCCTTCTCTCTGCCCAGGCGGAAACCAGCACTGGTCATCCCCATCTCCCATCCATCTCTCTTTGGGCAATATAAACTCTGGCTCCCTTCAGCCCTCTCCCTCCTTTGGTTTATATGCTTTGGGTTGGTGCATCTTCCCCAGCTCAGGGGGAAGGTCTTGTGAATAAGCCTAATCCAGATAAGGCACAGTATCCTTCCCCACCCCCCTCAGTAATGCTTTATTGTTTTTTTTCAGTGAAAGTTTACATAGCAGTTTATGTTCCCATGCAACAATTTCTACACAAATTGTTTAGCGACAATTCGTCACGTTCTTTACAATGTGTGAATATTTTCAATATTCCATTTGGTTGCTTCCTTTTCATTAATTTTCCAGTAATTTCCCTGTCCCCTTGCATTCTCAACTTTGTTTTATTTATTTATTTTGCTTGTTTGTGTTTTAAAATATCCATTGATTACCACAATTAGTTAAAAAAAAACACCCAGGAGCATTAGTAATTATAAAGCCACACTTTTTTTCATTTCTATGGACTATGCACATAGTCATATAATACCACCTTTTTACTACAACTGAAGAATATAATCAATTACCTAGATATTTGAAAAAGTTTTGTAACAAAAATTATCCAGACGTTGGCTGATTATACAACAAACACGTTTAGAACCAGAGTCACAGAAATTAGGTTAGATTTTCCCCCCACCCCCCACCCCTCTCTCCCTCAACTTTGTTTTAACATTGACCATTTAGTCTTCTATAAACCATTCTTCAAAGGAGCACCGTATTTGAAGAACTGGAATGGGGGCCACATCGGACTTCCTCCAACTACCCAGGGAAAAGGAGAATCCAACTCCTCATCTGTGAGGCAGAGGCCAGACATGCCTCCGTGCCCTAACCTTCCTGACTCTACTCGGACACCCACTATCCTGCCCTTGGCACTCTACTTCTCTGCTGGGTTCGATAACCTGTGTCAATGGCCACACAGGACTCACAGAATACTCATGATTCTAGGGTTTATAATGGAAGCTAGCAAGTTACCAAAAATTGCCCCTTGGCATCTGCCCTGCTCAGGAAAGTGTTAAAAATGCCTTCAAGATGAGAAATGCATAAAGGACACCCATCTGCAAACCAGCCTGCCACTCAAAACACCAGCCTGCTCACCTTGACTGATTCCCTAGAGCAGTGGTTCTCAACCTTCCTAATGCTGCCACCCTCTAATACAGTTCCTCATGCTGTGGTGACCCCCAACCATAACATTATTTTCGTTGTTACTTCATCGCTGTCATTTTGCTACTGTTATGAATTGGGCGACCCCTGTGAGAGGATCCTTCGACTGCCAAAGGGGTCCTGACGCACAGGTTGAGAATGGCTGCCCTGGACAGTGAAACCTGTTGCTCGGCCGCTCGGCTCAGCGCTGTTCTTCTCCACACCGGGATTTGGGAGGTGCTTCCTTCACCTGGTTCTTCTTCCTTACAAGGCGTGCAACTCTGTTTCTGCTTCTGAAATGCCTTATTTTATATCCAGTGAAATGGCAAAACTGACCAAGGCCCTCTATTAGAAGTTTTATGTAACCTACTTGCATGGTCTCACCCAGTCATTTGATGGGAGTTACAAAGAGCCATACCAAGTAATTTCACTTCACCATGGAATTCATAGGTGGCATTCTTTGTGAGTGAATCTGTTATTAAGGTGGAAGGTGGCCTCAGGGGCTAGTTTCAGTTCAAGGCTGAATCGGTATCTCTGGGCAGTGGTCTCAAGGAGTTCTCCAGTCTCAACGGCCCAGTAAGTCTGGTGTTGGGTTTTGTTTCGCTTTCCTTAGGAATCTGTGGCTCTCTTCCACATTTCCTCCTGTCTTTTTAGGGTCAGTTTCCCGTGGCCCTGGCCAGAATGATCAGCTATGGTGGCCGGGTGGCATAATTGAGTCCTGCTGGTCTCTCATTCGGGTAGATAAGGCCACCGTTTGTGTTTTGATTGATTTTGTTTTTAACAGAACAAGTTATTTGATTATTTTGTCATACAGAAAGCCTTATGTTTTAAAAAAAGTTGGCTTTCTGATTTTGTGCTTATGCCTCCAACACTTTCACAATGGTTCTATGCTCCTTAATAAGGAGCATATGCGTGAGCCTGTCACAGACACGTTTAGCACACAGGGAACTGCCGTTGGCCCGCTGACTTTTTTGTTTGTTTCAGACAACCTCAGAAGTTTCACAGCTCCTGCTTGAAGCTAGCCTGCGCATACATCACATAAGGATTTTGGTGCTGTACCAATCTTCCGGGTATAAAGGTAAACAATTCTGTTACCAGGGATTTAAGATGACCTGACTTTTAATGTTTTCTCTTTTAATGCAAGCACAGTCCCCCACTACCACAAATTGTGCAGTCGTGTTTCCCATATTCAGGACCTCTCAGGACTCAGCACATCCGGGTACAATGGATGAACCTCACCACCTTCATGACTGTGATGTCTCCCTGCCAGGTAGGAGGCCACCTGATTTTGTTAGCGGGTGTGTTGTAGGACAGCCCGCAATGGCAGGCTGTGAACACCTCTAACCACCATCTCTGGGAAAGCAAGGCACTGCATGTAGTTCTTTTTGTGAATTAGATCTGCGTCTAAATATCAGATATCAGATCATCATTTTTACAATCAACAACTTAAATAACTTATCAAACTTCCCCAAGGTTATCCTATTCTCACCACCACCACTCGCTTTTTAAATCCATCTCCCTCTTCACCCAAGTGAACACCTGTCTATCCTGTAGCCTATTACTCCTTCCCTCCCTTCCTCTCCTGCCCCTGGTAATTATCAAAGTCTGTTTCTTTTGAAGACCTTTTCTAGATTTTTAAAAAATTAACTATCGCTCATAAGGGTTTTTTGTTTTTTCTTTTCAAAAACAGGAGAGACAGCGAATGCAGTCCCCCACTACCACAAATTATGCAGTCGAGTTTCCGCGTTTGGGGAACTGCAGGGGTCAGCATATCCAGAGTGCAATGGCTAAGCCTTTACCTGGGAAAACCACCTTTGTGATCATGGTATCTCCCCTGCCACGTAAGTATTCATAAGGGTATTGTATTTCTTGACCACAGTGGTTGATTCAGAGGAAAACAAATAAGGAACTGCCCTATTCTTTATAAAGGCTTCATACAATTCCATTCGATAGGTGTATCATAGTAATTAATCAGTCCCCTATTAATGGACATGCAGTGATGTCCACCTTTTGTTATCATAAAAATTGCTGGTATGAATAGCTTTGCATATGTGTTGATTTATATAAAGATTTCTGGATTATATGAAGAACGTGACTCCCTCAGGATTGGAGGAAGGCTTCTTAACAGCCTGTGATAGACAGCTGAAACGACCTTGCTTACTGAAATTGAGGAGAGCTGGAAGCTGGGATGGTTAATGCTAACGTCAATTAGACACGCCTGTGTAAAGTGGGGGCGTAGCTCAGCCTATCAATTGCGTAGCAGACTAATGACACCTCCTTGCCATCATAAGCCTTCTTGTACATGAGGAGAAGATTAGAAGAATCCTGCCCCTTCTGCCTGAGCTGCAGCTTGTGTCTGTTTCCTCCATCTCCTTGTGTTGTATTGCCTTGCTGATCCCAGAGAACCAACAACGGTGGATTCATTGGGTCAACGTCAGACCTCTGGACCCACGGCCTTTGTCCCTTGCTGGAGGAAAACATTGTCTTGTTCCCCCTGCAAGGGTTATTGGATGCAAAGACCATGAGCAAACCCTGAGTGATTGTTTGCATGCTTCAGGAACCTGGTGCAAATACTGAGTCATAAGGAGATTCCTTGCTGCAGACCGAAGGAACTCCATCAGACCAGAATGTCCTTCTATGTGAGAATGTTCGTTCATGACGAATCATGAAAACATCTTGAGTCTGTAGTCATTGCGCCCTGGAATAGGCCCTGCTTTTAAATCTTTGTAACCTCATTCCTTTGGCATGCAAATAAAACCAGATAGCTGAGCAGCCCCGAGGTCTTCTTTTCTATGGGTACCTTTCCCTTTCCCTCATGGCTCAATCTCCTGCCTTGAGCAGTCACTCCTTGGGTCTCGGGTAGCTCCCAGCTGGCTGGCACGCTGTACCCTACTGTCTCTACCTCCTCTTCCCGCTTCCAGTTCATTAGCTTCCATGCAATAGGAAAAAACGGACTCGAATTGGACTGGACTTTGCTATTTCTACAACTGTTTGAGCCATTTCTTGATAGAAATCTCTTTCTATCTACAGCACAGACAAGCGTCGCTGGTTCTGTTTCTCTGGAGAACCCAGCCACACAGAAAGCACTCGCC